ATATATATATATATATATATATTGCAACAGCTTTATTTATTTAGGGCTTTCAAAACCATGATACATTCCGGTATTTCCTTTTAAAAAAAAATTTCTTTGGGATGCGTTTCTTTAAGGTTCCAACCTAAATTCTACAAAGTTACAGTTTAAACTTTTTACCAATTAAGATGCTCGTTTGGTCATAACAATATTGTCTTTATCTTGGTAAATTTAATCTGCCATTAATTAGGGAAAATAAATGAGTAAAATTTTATTGGGGATAGAGAAAACTCAAGACAATTTAGTAATTAAAATATTATAAATAATAATAAAAAAATTAAAATATTTTTAATGAATCAACATATAAAAAGATTCATTAAGAATATTTGAATAATGTCATTGAAAATCTTAATATTTAAAATATCAAGACGTTTTGAATTTTAATTTTCTCATTTTATTAAATTTGATAGTAAATTTAAAAGTGTAAATTACAAATACTATTGAATTCGGTCAAATATATTCTACACCTCTAATTAAAAGGTTTAAACTTTTTTTTTTTCAGGTTTAAGTACCATTTTAGTCCCTCAATTTTTCACTTTGGTATCAAAATTGTCCCTCACCTTTAAAAAGTACCAAAATTATCCTTCAACTTTCATTTTCGGTATCAAAACCATCTTTCCGTCAGTTAAATGACAGGTGGCACGTTATCTTGCCACAAAATCACATTTGAAAAATAATAATAATTACGTGGAAAGTAAACTTAATGAGATGGCATTTTTCTTTTTCCATGTGGCAAATTTTTTTATTTAAATAAAAACCCACATAATTTAATATTAGATTATTATCTTCTTCTTCCTCGCTTCGTCTCTCTCATCCATTCGCCCTTCTTCTTTCCTAGGCTTCTTCCTCGGCACCGATGAATGGTTCACTCAGCAAGCGGAGAGCATGAGTGAAGTGATCCTGGTGTGCCTTTTGCGGCCATCCAAAATCCAGATCTTCTCTCGAACCCAGATTTGGGTTTTTCTCAAACTCAAATCTGGATTTCACACATAAATTACCTACATCACATCGGCACCACCCACGGTCACCGGTGTTGTCCAACATCCTTCTATCTGATAATCTCGACCCACGCATCGCCGACGTCAAGATTGGAAACATCGGGCGCAGAAAGGGAAGAGATGATGAGGGTAGGGATGTCAACGGGGGCCCGTAGGGCAGGGGAGTCCCTCCTCGTCCCCGTCCCCGTCCCCGCGAATCACAGGGACGGGGATCCCCGCGGGAATTTTTTGCGAGGGGCAGATTTTGCCCCCCGTCCCCGTTCCCCGCCAATTAATCTCATCAACAACACCACCCGACTCATCTACCAACCAAACAGAGCATTAAACAAACAAATTAATAAAAAATCAAAAACCTTTAAGATTAAATGTTAAACTCCAAGAATTGGAAGAAAACCAGATTTCAGGGAAATGAAATCTACTGAGCTTTGTAAGAATCTTTGAGGTGGCGATCCATAGAGAAGAAGGAGGCGGAGGAGGAACCATGGCCGATGTAAGCCGGAGAGGACACGGCATATCAAAGAACAATGGCTGTGATTTGGCGATCTCAACTCGAAGAACTCGAAGAACACGGCATATCAAAGAACAACGACTTGAGTCTCCCCATTACCAGCGTTCTCAACTTGAAGAACACCTGCAAGGATCTTCACGCACTTGTGCGCCACAAGAGTGCGGATGGCAGATCTAGCACACCACACTCAAGCTTCCATTCACCATCCCAACCTTCCTCCTCGTTTTACCTCCCTTCTTCCCGCCTTTGGCCATTTTCTTCTGCGGTGCCTTCCTGCCACGAATCGAACCTGGTGTAGGATTTTTCGCATTGTAATCAAGAGACAACGAAACGTCACCTTCTGGAAGTAGGGAGAGGAGGATGCCAGTTTGAGACTTGAGTCACTTGAAGCCGATTGCTGAGCCGTTGGTGAAGAGGTGGTAAGGAGTGCCGGAAGGGATAGGTTCGGGGACGGGAGAATGGGGCAGAGGGGAGAGGAAGGTTGAAGGTGAGAATGAGTGAGGAGAGATGAGTTAAGGCTAGGGTTAAGAAGTCAATGATGGGTTGGGCTAATTTTTATGGGCTGGGTTGGGTGGAATAAAATTGGGTTAAGTTTAATTTTTATTGGATTGGGTTTGAATTTAAAAATTAAATTAAATTTAAAATAAAATTATTTTTTTTTTATAAATTTTTCGCGGGGATGGGGATCCCCCCGGAGTCCCACGAGGCGGGGAAAATTCCCCGTGAAATTTCACGGGGGGAAAATGCCCCCCGTCCTCGCCCCGCGAGGCCCTGCGGGGATCGGGGCAAATTGCCATCCCTAGATGAGGGAAATAACCAAAGCGGCACCGAATTTGATGTGTATTGTTTTGGAGTTATTTTGATAGAGTTGTTGACGGGAACACAGGGGATGAAGGAGAGTGTGAAGCGCGAGGAAGTTGGCGAAGGAAGGGGTTGGGATTGAGGTGTTAGACTTGAGGGTTTTTCTTATCGAATTCGGATGGCCAGATCTGGGTTTTTCTTCCTCTCCAAAACAAACCCAGATCTGGGTTTGAACAGGGCACGAGTGTGAGGACTTTAAAGCTGAACTTCAGGGGCAGAAAACTCTTGAAGATTTTAACAATCTTGTTGGTCCTTTTGGCACAAAGGAAGCTCCTGCAATCATCAAATCCTTCTATGACAAGAGAATAGTTGGGTGCCCAGGAACTCGTGGTTTTTGTTCTGTTTGCTCAAACTCTTGTGGTTGATTTTTGGTCTTGATTTTGCTATTTTCTTTGTCTTGATGGAACTGGAACTAGAATTTTTGGTTCTCTTTAAACCAGTGCTCGTTGGTTTTTGTGTTGATTTTGCCGAAATTTTAGGTTTTGGTTTGCTACATATCGAGTCTCCGGTGGTTCGATACTGTTTCTTTTTGATTTATTTGCATCCATGTGAGTTGACTTGGTTTGATGATATTCAAATATGTATTTGAGGTTTTTTTTTGGACAGTGATTTAGTTTCTCTTTGTTGCATTTCAATGATGTTAGAGGAGTCATTTGGGTTTGAGAAAAACCCAGATCTGGGTTTGATTTGGAGAGGAAGAGGAAGGGACAAGAGAGAGAGAAAGTGAAAGAGGAAGAAGAGATGACATGAAGGTTTTATTGATAGACTGTGATTTAGTTTCTCTTTTGTTGCATTTTAGTGGCATCGAAGGAGTCATCTGAGTTTAAGAAAAACCCAGATCTGGGTTTGATTTGGAGAGGAAGAAGAAGCGACAGGAGAGAGAAAGTGAAAGAGGAAGAAGCGATGACATGTATGGAAAAAAAATTCATTATTTTGAAATAAAATAAAATAAAATGCCAACTCATAAAAAAAAGTGCCATGTCATTAGTTAAGAAAAAAAAATTGATTTGCTGGCAAGTTAACGTGCCATTTGTCCATTTAACTGACGGAAGGACGGTTTTGGTACCAAAAATGAAAGTTTAAGGATAATTTTGGTACTTTTTAAAGGTGAGGGACAATTTTGGTACCAAAGTGAAAAGTTGAGAGACCAAAATGGTATTTAAACCTTTTTTTTATCTTGATTACACAATTGGAGGCAATCATCTCCAATTCCTTATCCTATCCCATTTACATGTCATGCGATTCGAATTCAAAATCTCTTATTTTCAGCAGAAGGAGATGACTACTGAGTTATTTAAGTCGTTGACTAAAAATTTAAACTTTAAATAGTAGACAATTTACTCTAATTAAAAACCCAAATCTTTTTTTGGAAAGAGTTTTGATATTATATATATATATATGATTTTCAAGTTTTTTAAGATATACTATACATTAAAAGTGCATATAAATTTATTTAAATATTTTTAATAAAATAATATAAAAATAATTTTATTAAAAATATTTAAATAAATTCATAAAATATACTGCACTTTTAATTATAGTCTGTATTGTGTAAAACTCAAATATATAGATATATAAACACACTAAGTATTCAATTATTTCAATAAAGATTTCAAGTTTAATGTACATAATATTACTATTGTTCATTAATTTCTTTGGGTAGCAAGTTGCAGGAATTCGTAG